ACACAATATGATGAAACAAAATTCATTTTTTTAATTTTATTTTAACACAACAAACAAAATTCAATCCAATTCCAATATTTTTTAGTTGTTAGAACATCAGAAAAAAACATATTTCACTGATTTAGCGACAAAAATTAACTATGTGAACTCAGTAAATCGGGTTATGGCAATGGTTTAGGCTAACAAAATACCAAAAACCACTAGTAATTAATACAAATTAGTGAAAAAATTAAAAAGAATTATGAAAAAAATGACCAATAGACCAAGATGAATCCGATAACTTAATAGATAAATTAATAGAATGCCGTTTAAACTTGGTCAGACTAGGTTTTTAATATTTTATTTTCAAATATAAAGACATTGATGAAAATAAATGATGACACATAAAAAAAAAAATACATTAATCAAACTTCTGTTTGACGAATTCCAACCTCCGAATCTCTCGATCGGTCTCAAGTAATGCAAACATAGTTATATTGATGATTCTTGCATATATACTAATCGATTCTAAAATAAAGATAACGGATCCTTCAATTATTGATGAAAACTTCTATGCATGAAGAATAGTAACGACTAAAGATACGGAAGGCCATTATCATTATCATTAACTAAGGGAAATTAAAAAAGGAAGTTCACGAAATAAAAATAAAAAGATAATTAAAAGCAAAGCTGTCTTCAATAAACGAAACTTTCCTTGAAAGTTGAAAGTGTAAATGATAAGGCAATGATCACGACAGCTAAATTGATTGATTATTTTGAACCAAGTTTGTTATTTTGTATAAAGTCTGGAATGCATACCAGACCAAAAACTGAGGTCTTCCTCTTTTGTCTTTTGTATAAATGTAATATTCGGATAGCAACGATAACATTAATATAAATTAAGGTAATTACCAAAAAAAACGTAATTTTTTAATTTACCTTTCAATTTTTTTTCTAACTTTAGACATCCAAACTTTTTGCTTTCCAGTACAAACTAAAATGTAGTATTTAAAAAAAAAAAAAACAATTCTCACAAATACCACTAAATAAAATTGTTTCCAAAAGTACCATCATTTTTCAAATGTTCCACAAATACCACAATTTTCCAAATGTTTCACAAAACT